ATTTCTATAAACATGTATTAGGTTATTGTATTTAAGTATAAGGTATTCATACCTTTATATAAGTTTCAAATTATTAGATTACTAGGTTTGAAATTAAATTATTAGTTTTAGAATATTATTGACTTACTATTGTCATTCTTTTACAAATATTATTTTTAATCATCAAATATTTATTTATATTTAATATAAACTTGAGTTCAGTTTTATTACTTTTATAGTAGAATTATTAAATATTTCTGATGTAGATAAGAAAGATTTATTATCTTTGAAATATATAAAAATGTAATTTATAAATATATTGATAAGCAAAAGTATGTCTATTTTAAGATATAGATCATAATATTTCTGAAATTTTTTATCTTAAATTTACATTATATTTTTATAATTCTCTTTATTAATATTTTACTAAATTAGAAGTAAAAAAATCTTTTCATAAAGGAAGTTTTATTCTATTAAATTTGTTTTATGAATTAGTTTAATTATATAAAAATACATCTTTTTTTAAAAGAAGTTTAATCTTATCTATAAAATAATCTTCTTAGTAAAATATTTGATGATTAAGAGAAATTTTAAGCTTTTTACTTAAATACTTAACTAATTTATTAAATCATATTTATATATGTTAGAAGCTATCAAAAATTGAAGCTGATTAACTCTATGACTTTATATTCTCTGATATGCAATTTAGCTTATTAAATTATGAACTTACTTACAATTTTTATAGTAAATAAAAGTCATATTTCCAGAAATTATAATAAATAAAAGATACTTTAATTTTAAAAGAACCTATTTGCAATTTTTTGTTATAGGTATTATGGATTAAACTTAAATAATTTTCATTTATATAATTATGATTTTTTATTTTATAATTAAAAAAACTTAAAATTTCTTGATATTTTTTCTGTATTTTTTCTTTTCTGAATAATTTTCTTTTATGTTTACTTTCTATTCATTAACTTCTAGTAATTTATATTTTATTTCTTTAAATTTCTTGTAATACTTTTTGTAATAGCTTAATAAAAAATTTATTACAAATCTAATATTTAATTATTTTTTATATATAATATACTTTAAGATTTTTTGACATCAAAATCATTTCAACTGATGCAGATAACTTTCTCTGAATAGTTAAAAATTCTTTTTAATTTTATGATAAATCTTTCTAGTATATTAAATTCTTTATATAAATCATGATTCATAATTTTATAGTTAAATAAACTATTCATACAAATAACTATTTAATAATAATTATATAGTAAAAAAAATAATTTTTGTGATAATTAAGAATAAATTCTATGTGTAATAAAAATTAATTCTGTAAAATTTTGTGATTTAATCAAAATTATGCAAGATCAATTAATATTATGATTTATAAATTCTGACTAAACTTAATGATAACTAATATTATAATAATTACAAATTCTAAATCAAGCTAAAAATTTTAAAAAATTATCATCATTTTTATAATTATATTTTGTAATTTTTGTAAAATTTTATAAAATACAAAAAATTATTATTCCTATCATATAGCTTATGCATCTATAACCTTTTAATAATAGTTAACTTTATTATTATTTTAGAGTTAACTTTTGATTAACATTTTTAGAACTCAGAAAATACTATATAAGTTTAGTTGTATATATTTACAATTATAAAACTTTAATATTTTTATTTTTCATTAGCATTTGCAGTTATTAAAGACATTATTTAAACCTTTACATTTTGTTAAATATATCTTAAATCCTTTCTCTATAGAATATATATAAAAATAATATTGTCAAATATTTTTGCTCTTTATTTGCTTATAATTATATATTAACTTATATAAATCTTTTATAATATGGTAATAATTTCTATTATACTTCATAATTATTAAAAGATTTATAGACTTATATTTATTTTTTCTTTCTTTTTAAAATATAATAAATTCAAAATATTTATTTTAATTATATCATTTATAAATATAAAAATTAATTTCTGAATTAATTTCTTTGAATTTTTATAACTAATATTAAAACTTATACTAGATATTCATGTTAAGTTCCTTCATAAAACCTCTATATAACTGATATAAATTTCTTTTTGAATAAACTTTAACTAGATATAAAACTTCTAAAATATATCATTTAAAATATCAGTCATTATCATTTTAAATATTAATAATTCTATTATTACATTTAGATATAATTTTAGATAAATATATATAAGCATTTTATATATTTTAGGTAAGCATTAGATATTTAATATATAGTTAACTTTAACTATTGCATAATTACTTATTTATAAAATTTTTCTTTAATTAATTATTTTATATATATATTATTTTTAGATTATAGAAATCTTACTAAAGATAAGTATTTATAAGCTTTTCAAAATAGTTATAGCTATTTTAAAACTGAAGCATTAAATAATATTATTAATATTTTATGAATATAGTAATAAAAAATGATTGGTAAATATTTGTACTTATATTTAAATAACTCTAAAAAAGCTTATGAAAAAGTATGTATTCAAATAATAAATATTAATTTCATTAAAAAATTAAAAAATATATACTTTATTCTTATTGTGTAAACCTATCAATTTTTTTGTAATTGATATTTACTACATATTAGAAGATATTATGTTTATTTAGTACTATAATAGATTGCTGCTAAAATCTTAAAGCTGAAATATTTTAAGGATATAAAAGAATATAATATATGTACTGCTTATATATTTTTGTTAGATTTATTTAAATTATTATTTTTTATAAGCTAGAGCTTGTCAAAATGAATTTTGCTAATAAAAAGTTGAGATTATTTTATTATTTAGATGAAGAAGTAATAGATATATTTTAGAATATTCTAGAGATTTTTCTTTTTAAAATGTTTAAAAATAACAGAAAGATTCTAGAGATTTTCTCAGAACTTAAGATATAATAAATTTTTATTTTATTTAAATGAATAACAGTTTAATAAGCTAATCTACATAAAATCATTTTCTGATATATATTTTTTGTTAGATTTTTGTATACTATTTAGTAAAATAACTTATACTGAACTTATTTTAACTAAGAAAAAATTAGAATAATTTTGTGAATTTTTTTAAATATTATAAGGAATATTAAAGTTATTTTTGTTAAACTTATATGATTTAATATGTTATTTTATAAGCTAATCTTTTTAAAATCTATTTCTAATATACTACTTTTTTATTAAGTATATAAAATTTCTAATAAATAAAATTTAAATTCTAAACATTTCTAATATAACTCACATTAGAGTTTACATAAAATTTATATATTAATTTTGATCAAAATTGTATATCATAAAGATATTTTCAAATTTGTTATTCTATATCTTTTGTTTTTAAACTAACTAGTAATTGGATTTTAATAATTTAAATTTATTAGAATTATTCTAATAAAGAAATTTAATGATAATAAATCACATTTCTAATATTGATATTAATTATAAAAAACACATTTTATTATATGTCCTTTGTAAATTAAATAAGAAATTTTTAGAATCCTATAAAATCATTAGATTTAATTTTTTTTGTTAGATTTATTTAATCATTATATTATTTATTGAGCTAACATGCATAAAAATAAATTCTATTATTATTTATATTTTATTAAATTTATAATAAAAATATAATTAATAAATTTATTTTTTATTAGATTTATAATAAAATATACTAATTAGTATTATAACTCGTATAAAAATAAATATTGATATACATTTTTATTAAATTTAAGAAAACTATTAAACTTTTTATAGAATAATAAGAACTGTTAGATTTATTTTTTAGACTTAAGAAAACTATTAAACTTATTTAAATCATTAAATTTATTTTCAGTAAAATTAAGTAAAAAATATGCTATTTAATAAACAAATTTATATAGAAATAATTCTGATATACATCTTAAATCTAATAAAATAAATTTTGTTAAACTTAAGAATAATATACAATATAAATGTTTAAAGTTTTCAGAAATTATTTTAATGTAGTAAAAATTAATATAAATTTTAAAAAGAATCAGAATATACAATGTTAATAAAAATAATAGAACTTCATCTTAAAATCTCAAAAATAATAATATATTTTTGATTTCTTTCTTTTTTTATTATTTTTTTTACTTTACCTTTTGTATTTTACTTTACATGAGGAAAATTTATAATTTTTATTTTAAGTTTCAGATTTAAAATCAGACTTATCATTTTTGTATAAAAAAGACTTTTCTTTTAATCAATATTAATTTTTATAAAAATGATTGAATTTAAATTCTTCACTATCATTATAACTTTCATATTTATTATTATAAAACTACTATAAGTAAAAAAATAAACAGAATTTTTCAGAACCAATTTTTACAGATTTTTCTTATAAGTTAAACCCTTGTAGTTAACTTGTTTTGTTCTTTATTAGAAGACATAATGATTACAATTTTTGAATTTATTTATTTGAAAATTTTAGGAATTATCAAATATAAATTCATTTAAGATAGATAAGTTAATATAAGTTGTTAAATCTTTTTTATCTAGTTCATTGTAAAAATTTATTTTTAAATTATTTTTTTTTAAATAATAATATTATACAAATGCTATAATCTTATTTTTAAAATTTTATATCAAAAAAAAAAAATTGATATAATAAAGTTAAACTTGTATATTTTTTTTACATTAATAATAATATATAAATATAAAAATGAATATAAAAAAACCAAAATTGTATTTATATTAGTTAATCTTGCAAACCAATCATTTATGAAAAATTACATACATCTATTTACTAAAATTCAGTGATAAGTTAAAGATGATAATTTCGTATTTTTGGTTTTATCACAATTATTTTTTTAGGTTTATAAAATCTTACCGTTCGCAATTGTCACCTTAACCTGACAAAAAAATTCCAAAATTGGACATAGTTACATGATGAAATTATCTCCGTTTTTTTTTTTATTTCGAAATTCATTATCTTATATCAAAGGATATCAGAAAAAAAACTAAAAGTGATCAAAAGTTTTTTGGTCCATCATATCGGACAGATTTATTGTATGACACAATCCTTATTACTTTTTCATTACGTTCATTTTTTAATTTATTTTGATTATTTAAGTGATCTAGCCGTGTAATTCTACCACCTCGAGCCAATCTTTGTTTTGCGTCCTCATTTCCGTGTTCAGCTGCCTAACGTTTAAAAGTGAAGAAAATGAAGTAAGAGAAGCACGCGCACATATATTTATGAACCAAGAAATTTTTTCTTTGCTTACCTTTTCATACCAGGCAATGGCTTGATTTGGATTAACAGGTACATGAATACCAACATCATGGAAGTAGCCCATTGCAAATTCTGCTGCAGCCAAACCTTTGTTCGCAGCTTTCTCGGCATGTTCATACGCCAACGCTTCATTTTGCTCAAAGTAACCTTCCGCACCACATAAATACCATTTGCTTAAAGCCATATCTGCTTCAACATCCCCCTTTTCTGCAGCTCGCTTATAATATGAAACAGAAAGTATTGGATCAAATTGACAACCTAAAGTAGCATATTCATAGCAATGTCCCATCTTGTACAATGCGGGAACATATCCCAAATTGGCAGCTCTTTGAATATATTCCTTCGCTTCATGATCATCCGGTGCAACAACTTGATCCGGTATTTCAGCCTTATCCCATTCTCTAGCTAATATCATTCCGTATACATAAGCACCATTTGGACAATCCTCATTTGCTTTTGTTGCTGCTGATTTTAAATATATTAAGGCTTGGTTATAATCGGTTTCTGTTTTTAAGTCACCGAGTAAGTAAATCAAAGCAAGCCGCTGTTTCAAAATAAATAAATACATTAGTACAAAAAAAAAATAATACATCACAATCTATATAAACTTACGTATAAAGCAGAAACATCTCCATTTGAAGCAGATTTCTTATAGAATTGTAATCCTCGCTTTACATCTTTATTTTTTTCATAATGTTGAGCAACTTTATAAATTGCTTTTGGAAAATCTTGTTTCGAAGCAGATAAATATAATCTAAAAGCTTTATCCTGACTAATCTCTTTACCAAATTTACCGTATTCATACCAATTACCTTTTATATACATAGCTTCAGGATTATCTTTTCTTGCCAAAGAATTAATCCAATAACATATTTCCCCAACTAATTTATTATAATTTTCCTGATTACTATTATTAATTTGTTCATTGTTTTTATTCCCGACAGATGCATCATGACATTCTATCATATTAATGAGAAATTTAGCATAATCAAGTTGAACATTTGGATCATTTGTCTTTTTGGCAGCTTCCCTGTACTTTTGTAACGCATTTTCATCCTTTACAAGAGTATTAGAAGTCATTGTCATTCGCCTCTCGATTTTATCGTCAATCAAGAGACGTATATTTGTGTTTGGCTGATATTTTAAAGATCCACGTTCCGGTGTAGGAGATCTTTGGCCCCAGGCGCTTCGATTTACTCCAGATAAGGAAGATGGTATTGAAGCTCCATCCGGGCCAACTGAGACGGCACCAGGAGATGGCTGACGAGGAAAACCTGATGATGATGAACTTTGATAATTATTTGGTGAACCTTGACGATATTCAGGCATAGATAATTGACCTTGAGAATTCCAAGGATTTTGGATTGGCGATATAGGTGAATTTGACATTGAATGATCATTATTAGTTGAAAACCGTTGAAGAGATGTAGAAGTTTGCGTTGACGAATTCATTTGATTTGATGGCTCTGAACCGACTTGATTGTTTTGATTATAATTAGTTTGTTGTCCAATTTGATTTGGATACTTCTGCTGCTTCATCTGCATATATTGTCCTTGTACCGTTTCCTGTGAATTACGACCTGGATATTGAGTTTGCTGTTGATGGATATTTACACTCTGAGATAAAGATTGTCTAGGTGTATTATGTATAGAAGAAGGTGGAGTTGATTGTTGACTTTGTTGATGGGGACCATCTGTAATATGAATAAAACAAATCGTATAAGTTCTTTAAATTTAACTTGAATAATTTACATAAAGTTTTCTCACTTTGAAAATTTCCATTAGGTGGCACCATCGGTTTGTATTGTGATTGTGGTATATAATCATGTTGTTTTTGTTGAAAATTATTATAATTTTGTTGATAATATATTTTTTGTTGTTGCTGCGGCTGTTGCTGTTGTTGCTGTTGTTGCTGTGAGTACGACTGCGACTGCTGTTGCGAGTACGGATGTTGTGAGTACGGCTGCGACTGCTGTTGTGAGTATTGTTGTGAGTACTGATGTGGGTGCTGTGAGTACTGCTGTGGATGCTGTGGATGGGTTTGAATTTGATCAAGTTGTCGTTGATTTAGTGGGCTATTTGAAGGTTGATAAGATTGATTATTATTTATATTTTGATTATTTTGATTTTTCGAAATAATACTACGATTATCTTGGGAAGGTAATTCTTTTGTGCCCTGATGTAACTGATAAATTTGACTTTCTTGAGACACGATTATAATATTTGACCGCGACTCTGTGTTATTTTGTGGTTGAGGACTTTGATTTTGATCCGAAGCTAAATTCAACTTTTCATCATCACCTTTATACCAACTTTTTGGAGTGTCAGAAGTTGTAGGAATATATTGTATTTCATATTCATTTACACCTGGATATTGCGTTTCTAAAGCATTCGAAATGTCCTTTGTTACAGTAGGTATTGGTTTTTGTGGTTTTGGTGAAACTAAAGGTGGAAAAGGTTGATCGGAAGGATCTAACCTATATTGTTGAGGAGGTATAAAATTTTGTGGGGTATAGTTTTGAACTGGAGCAGGATCATATTCAGAAACATTACCAAAAATATATTGTTTTTGTTGTTGGTAAGAAGCATCTCTCGATTCCTTTGAATAGCTGTTGGAACCACCAGGAAGTGGTCTCGGTCCAACGACAGATCTAGTTCTGGGTAAAGTAGGGCGAGGTTGTGTGCCATTTCCGTCACCGCCTGAAAAGTAATAGGCATTTTGATTTTCGGCCATTATCATTTATAATGATTTAAATTTTTTTTTTTTTTTTTTTTTTTTTTTTTTTTACTTGTACAATATGAAAACAACAATAAATAGTAGAAGGTTTTTTTTTTTTTTTTTCCTTTTCTTATTAAAAACCTTTTTTAAACTGACTAAAGGGAATAAATTTAAAATGAAAAAAAAAAAATATATTTTTGATTTATTGAATAAATTGACAAATTTTTGTTTTACCAAAATGGTATGATATCTTTGTGAATATATATTTTTTTTTTTTAATCACAAGCCACTCATATACATAACGTGTCACCAAATAAAAAAGGTAATTGGCTTATACATGAAAGTGGCTCATATTTTTAGATTTCCTATTTGTGTTTAAAGAATAATCTATCGAAAATTTCCGCGTTATAAAAAAACTTTTTTTTTTTTCCCTTGATATGGATTCTTTGTTGTACAGATCTTCGGTTAAATTTTATACTTTAATGCCTTATGCTTTATGATAATGCTTTATTGCCATTGCATAAGGAAAAGGTAATCAACTCAATTTATGAGCTTTCTCCTCCTCTCTCGAAATTATGCTTGGCTTAATTTCCCGTTCTGGTTTATATTTCGTCGTATATAAAAAGGCGGATAAAAAATATATTTTTATGCCAATTAGAAAGGATCGACATCAAACTTTATGCATGCAGACATTCATGTAGTTACAGTAGCGTGTATTATTGTATACCATCTAAAAAAGAATTTAGCCTATCTATTGAGAAAATCAAATAAAGACGATTTTTATAATATTTATATTGTCATATTGAAAGTGATTTTGTTTGAAAAAAATAATGTAATTAATATATATATATATATTTGTGTATCTCAAGATCTCTATTACCTCATATCAACCCATCAACATCTATGATTTACACGTGTTTCCATTTTAAGATACTGATGTTACGTCAGCGAGACACAAAATGAGACGAGGAGGATATCGTGTTATTAAAGGAGAGGAAAAAAATATGAAAAATTGCAGAAAGTTTCTTCAAGCAAGCACATTTATCATTCGGCCATAGAACTTCTTTGGATCAAAAGGTCTCTTTCTTCTGATTCCGACTTGGGTTTATTCCATTTATTTCAATAGTAGAGTCATGTGAGACTTCAATGAGTCAATTCTGCGGAATTCTTATGATCTGCTGTGCAAATGATTAAAAATCGATATAAAAGTTGTTCGGTCATGTTCGGACTTTTATTTCTAGGCTCTCTTCCCTCAAATTTTTATACTTATTGTATTTGTAAAGAGAACAAGGGCCTAACTATAATAAAGACAATAAAAAAAAAAAATATATATTTCATAAAACTTTTGTTTTAAAAAAAAAAAGTGAATAAAGAACAAGTTTATAAAGTTTTCCACATCACTACAACGCGTTTTCAAATTTTTTTCTTTTGTTTTGTCGATTTAGTGAACGAAGAGAATGTGAGTGGCGAAGTAGTATAAACTAAACTTTGCTTAAATTTTATGTGTCCCAGAACAAAGAGTTTCAAAAAAAAAAAAAAAAAAAAAAAACTGTTGAATACGTTGACAAGAACTTGGAATCAAAATGTCAAACTGAAAATTATTGGACAATTTTGTTGTAGTTTTTTTGGAGAATATTGTTTATTCTATTTTTCTTTTTAACCTGCTTATTACTTGGTTTCTACTTTGCAAATCTCGAACCATTTATTTCTTTTTTTTTAACTCGCGCAGCACTCCAAAGATTCCAATTCACATTCACGTGAAAATATAGTCATTCGTTTCGCTCCCAATTTACTTCAATGGAAGAACAGGATCATTTGCCCAGTACTTCAAATTCAAATGCCCAAGAATCGGAACCTTTCGAGTTCATTGATCCTAACACTGAAGTTGCTCCAAGAGAAAATGATGATCTTGAAGATTTAGCTAATGAATCGCTTGGTAATTTTTCTTCTTTCCTTTCGTTCTCTTCCTTCATTTATGGAGATTATAATATCTTGTTTTTTTTAAAAATTCTCATAGGAGAAGGTTCGGAATCGGAATCGGAATTGGGTGAAAGTGACGTTGAACAAGCGCTTGATGATGAGAGTGATACAGCATCTCAACGCCTTGCCAGGGTTCGTAATTATGAACGATACCCATTCAGTTTCCCTGCCAATTTTCATGTCATGTACATTGGACGAGATGTTCCTCTTCAGAGTAAACATACTATTTTCACCAAGGTTAGCGAAAGTTTATCCCAGATTTTTTGGGATGAAGCGGAAGGTGCAATTAATGATGTTGGTTTAGAGAAGAGACTTGTCGTATGTCCTGTCAGCAATATTCCTCAAGATGGTAGACCTCAAGTTGAATACTTTCAAGACTCGGGAGTTGCAATTTGTGAAGCTGATCTCACAAATGGACCTTACACCAAGGCATTCGAATTTTTGCAAAAAAAATTCGCAAAGACTGATCAAGACTCTGCCTTGATTGATTTATGCATTGTCTTTATACCTCAGGACGCTTCAACTTTAGATGAACATTTCCGTGATGAACTCTTGCCTACTATGAAAAAATTGCAGGAAAAGGTTACTTTATTGCCAATCATCAATGATCAGGAACTTACTTTCAGAGATGAAAAGGAAGAAAGACGTCGAACCATTTTAAAATCTTTTGAAGACAGGGGAATTGAAATATTTACATGGAAAGCTGACCAAATGATTCAAGATAGGGATCGTAATGGGGAATGGGTAGAAACTGTGTACACAAAAAAAGTTTTGTTCGTAAATGAGTTCACTACATTTGAAAATCAAGTTGTTTATGAAGATTTACAACTTTTGCGCTCACGTGCAATTGAATTCAGAAAAGATCGACAACGTAAAGAACAAGCGAAGAAACGGGCTCAAGAGTGTGATAGATTTGCTGCCATATTAAAAGATATTATTATTAAGTGTATGATCCTCTATACAATTTATTTATTCTTTACCGGCGTCCGTAATTACGCGGAATGGGCAGTTATTCCTTCTGATTTGAAATCTTCCCTTCAAGCCGTGACAAGAGCATCTTTAAAAACCCAGAATCAAAATAGACTTCAAACGATATCCCTCGACAACGGCGAAACTCAACCTTTGATTGAAGTATTTCAAGAATCTTCGAGTAGGTTCGTGTTTAATATAATGAGTAAAAAAAGATACGTCAGAAATCGAAAGGATGTCTTTGAGGTCATTGTCACACATCATCCACCTCAAATCTTGGGTCGTTATGATGTCCATGAAATTGACGAAGGTCGATATGCGTTTGATATCAACACTAGTGGCTCAAAAGGTGAAGTTTTAGTTGAAATCAAGGAAAAGAATGGTTCATCAATAAAAATCATTACTTGGAAAGATAAAGGTGAAGGCATTAGAAGGAATAATGATACGCTTAAAGAGCATAAAGAAGATCCTACTTTCATGGAATACGTTCAAAGCGGAGCTGTCGATTCTTATCATCAGGTGCTTTATTACTCGAAATCCGCATATGAGGAAGCAAAAATCTATGTGGATTACACTGTAGGACGCATAGCAGATGCATTATATAGAGCCAATATCTATATACAAAATCAATTGAATGATTTTTACAAGTATCTCGAAGATAATGCTAATTATTGGAAACCAATTATTCGCGAGAAATATTTGTATTTGAAAGCTACTACAAGAGAATTTACCAAAGAAGGGCGTTTAAAGGCCAAAGAAGTGTATTATAAAGTAGAAGAAGGAGTGTTTAATTTGGCGCGTTTTTTAAAGGATCAATATGACGAATTTTATGAGCCTTTTTAAGTTAATTTCTTTGTGAGTTCTCTTTCTTTTTCTTCCCTTTTCTTTTATTTAAATTTTTCTATTGCTTTATATTTCATTTGCTAAATTTAGTTAACTTTATAAATTTCTCTCTCTGTTAAATTTTAGCTATTGTTATTAATTAGTTGTTTAAATTAGCTATTATCATATTACGGCAATTTACAATTTTCTCCATTTGATTTGATTTTCTTTTTATTATTTTCGAATTTTATAGCTTTGGTTGCTGAATATATCGATTAAATATAAAAACAAAATTTTTTCGTGTATATGATCAGAAAGTTGATGAAATTAATTTTTTATTTATTTTATTTTATTTTGTAAAAATATTAAGATTTTAAGTATTATTTGTATATATATTTATTATTTTGTTGAAATTAAATCCAAAATAGGACTCGTACTTGAATTTGTATCGAGTTTACGATTTTGATCACGTAATATTCTAATTTAATTAGATTTGTTATTTCATTAATTTAATGGCTACCCCAGCATAACCTATACGAAATGTCACGAAATGACCGGCATTAAAAGTTCCGGCCAGAATTAACCGTGACTATAGGTGATAAATAACCGAGTGGCAAATTGAACGGACATCAAAGCGCATAAAACATATACCTTTCCAATTTCCAAACAGCTGAACACCATATATCTACTGCTTCTATTGACGTCCATTATGACAATAATAGATTTTACTTTATATGCATGAACTAAAATATGACATTATCAAGCCGCTATAGTCCTTCGCTAACGCTCCGGACTAAAAAATGAAAAAGTTGGAGGACTCTGCGTGATAAAAAGCAAGTCACATGATTTCATGACATTTCGTATCCAGGAGTCCAGGTTATACAAAATTTCGAGATTATCACATGTATCCGACCAATAAAATTACAGAAGTTTCAATATTGTCACATATTAATTAACCAATCAAATCAAATCCAATTTGTATATAATACTGTAATATATAATATTTAATAATTATAATAAAAAAAATTCTAAATTATATTTATAACATTGCAAATTGAAGTCTAACTTTAATAAATTATAAAATTTTACAATTCTAAAAATGATCTTTTTGCACTATCTAATTGATTCTCTATTGTTATTACATTATCTGCTACTGCTTCTATATCATTTAAATTATCCTCAACTTCATCTTCATTATTCTCATCAATGGATTCATTTTCAACCTTTTTCTTCTTTATATTTGTTAAACTCGCTATCAATGCATTGATATTATTTTTAACCTCATTTTTGTAAATAACCTAAACATTTAAAACACTTGAATTAGCATTGTTGCAAGCAATAGTTATGGTAACTATACTCGCATGCTAGAATATTGCTAATCTTAACATTGTAGTTATACTGAGATTTGTCATAGTATTTAAACCTTCATTACTTGTTTCTACCAAATTTAGATAATAAGCTATATCAAATTTAAAAGCAGTAATTTTGTGTTATTCAACGAAAAAAAAGGTAGCAAATGAATAATATGATTATTTTATACAATCTATAATTTGATTGCTACATTCAGAAGGCTAAGCTGCTGCATAAAGTTATTTAAAAAAAATCTTTCAAGTGAGATCACTTTCTTCTATTAATTCTCGCATTTTATCAAAATCATAAATAGAATTCTTGTTTTACATATATTCTCTTTCATATATGACTTTACTATCATTTTGATAACTTCAAAAAGCTTAAGTTTTGTACTATATATACTCTTTTTCCTTTGTAATTTTTTTCTGTTTAGAATCTCATTCAAAGGATTTTCTACCAAACTCATATAGCAAATATTACACAAAATAATACCCTCCCTTCAGATTTTCTTTATTAAACTTTTACTCTCCACTTCTCTTCACTTTTCTCCTTTTAATAGGTGAAATCTACTTGATTAGTGGTTTGACATTCATTGCAATTTTTTTTTTCAGACATATTGAAAGTCGTTAGATTCAAATAAATTCACTTAAAATTGTTAATCTACAGCATCAAAAATTTAAGGAATACTTAGCATCTGTGCACTTTTCATAAGATAAATAAGCTATATAAGCTTCTTAAAAAAGTATTATAAAAAGTATAAAAAATGATCTATTAAAGTATGTAACATAATTTTCTTATATAGGATACGATCACCTCTAGACAGTGTTATCATGGGACATTAATAGGACACTAATGGAACATAGATGGGATATATAGGATATTTAAAATATAGTATGGGACAGGTTGAGACATATAACTGGAACATATAACTGGAACAATAAATCTTTGGGATATCAAAAATGGACATCACTGCCTCTAGGCATTTCATATTTACCTCAGGTATTGTCACAAAAATTCCATATCATGTGACTTATCAGCTGGTATTATGGCATTAAGAAATTAATTGTATTACAAATCAGAATATGATAAATAGTATTTTACTTACCAAAAAAATTCTGTCCTTAAATACATAGTAAAAATGAAAGTTAAGTTTTAATAAAATTTTAATATATTTAATAGATTTTTATAATAAAAAAAAAATAAAAAAAAATAAAAATAAGCTAATATTAAATCTAAATATATTTTTATTTAAAAAATATCTTTAATATATAAAGTAAAATTGATTTTTCTAGCAGTTTCATTTTTCTTTATTGCAAAAATATCATATTATTATTTTTTATATATAATTAAAATAATATATAAGAATTTTAATTTATTATAAATGAATTAATTTAAATTGAAAAGTTTTTTATCTTAAAATTAAAGAAAAGTAGTATACTTAATTTATTAAATAAAAAAAATAAAGATTGGTTATTATTTTTCTGATTTTAAAATTAAAATACAAAATATTTTAAAGGAATCTAAAATAATAATTTTATATGGTAATTTGATAAAAAACTTTAATATATCAGATAGATAGATATTTTTCTTTATAAAAAAATATAAATTATTTTAATAATGATGTATAAAAATTTTTTAAAAATTACTAAATTAAACAGAAAAATCTTTAACTAAATATTATTAATTTATTATATATCTAAATTAAAAAGTTTTTTAATTTATACAATATTTTCAATATAAATGAAACTCTAGTATAATTTAATATAATAGGTAATTTTACTATTAATTAAAAGGATTTTAACATATATTGTAGATAAAATAATCTTTTTAAAATTTTTAAATTATATAAAATTTGTAATTCTTTATATAATTTTTAAGTTTATTTTTAAGCAATTTCAATTTTTAGGTTTGATATTTTAGTTTATAATTTAAATTTTATAGATTTTATGATTTAATTCTTTAATTCATATTTCGTTAATTTATAATTCTATTTTAATGCTTAAAGTTTTATAATTTTATTTTAACTATTTAAATTAAAATTATAAATTTTTTAATCATTTTATTTTTAATTTTTTTGATTTTAATAATACAAGTATTTAATTAACTGATAGTTGATTATCCATTACAATCTATGTAATCAATTTTTCACAAAAAGTTTTTTAGAAAATATCTATAAAAATATTTAAATACTATAATTAAATTTGATTTATTAATAAAAAATAATAAAAATTTTATATATACTTACCATATTTAAATCTTTATTTAAAAATTTATCATAAAATTTGCTTATTTATTAATTGAAGAAGTTGTTTTATCTGAATGACTTTTAAGATGTTTAAATAAGTTTTTAGTTAAAGAATTTAAATCACTTATATTATATATATCTTTATTACAATATTAATATTTTACTCTTAAAATTTCTTTATCATCTTTAAATTTATCAAAATGATTCTATATATCACTTCTCTCTTTTCTTTTAATATATTAGAGGAAGTAGAACTTAAGTTATCATTATCAAAATCTAATTCTATAATTTTATTTAGTTGTTTACATTTTTTAAATATTATTTAAATATTTGTTAAAAGAAAAAATTTTATGAGAAATTAATTTAACATACTAATTAAATTCTAGATCAACCTTTTATATTCAAATTTGATTTAATATAACATTGTGATTAGTGTCATTTTTCCATATTTAGCATATCTAACTACAATTTATTTGCTATAATAAATGCTATAAATTATTATATATATAAAAATAAAAAATAAAAAATCAAAAAATTAAATATATTATTTTAAGTTATAAGTATATATATATGTATATTTACATTATATTAAAAATTACATTTAATAATTTTACAAAAAATTTATAATTTATAAAAGAAATAAATTATATTATTATAATAATAAATTTATCGTTTTAAAAAAATTAAAAAAAAATTTAAAAAAAAAAAAAATAAATTGATTTATTCTATTTTATTTATTATTTTCTTTGATCATTTTGATCAATTTTAATCAGATTTGATTAATGCAAATGTATATTATAAAGATGCATAAATTAATTATTTAATCAAATAAATACTAAATCTTATCTTATTTAGATAAATATTATTTATCAATTGTCAAGTAAATGCAAATCAGTTTTTATATTTTTTATTTAATATTTATACATGTTGATCAATCTGAAAATTCCAGTGAAATGCAATATTTTTATTTGTAATAAAATTTATTATTTATAAAAAAAAATTTGAATAAATAGAATTAACTAAAGCGAAAAAAAATTATTTTTAAAAAATTTTTAAAATATTCTTTTTAATATATTAAAATAAAATAATTTTCATCTGATATATAATAATTATATCTATTTCTAATAAAATAAATAAAATAAAATAAGTTAGTAAAAAAAGAATTTACTCAAAAGAATCTCTTAAAGAAGGCTTATCTTATCTGAAGAAAATGAAGAATCTACTCTTAAAAAAAAAAGAAAATAATATTAGTAAAAAAGAGAAATTTATAATATAAAGGAATCTTAAGAATACTAAAAGAAGATTAATCATTTAAAGAGAACAAAAGACTAAGCTCCTAAAAAAAAGAAGAAAAATTAAGTAAAAAGAATTTCACTTAAAAAGAACTTAGGAAAATTACTTATTCTTATCTAAGGAAAATTAAAGATCTACTCTTAAAAAGAAAAAAAGTAAGAAATTAAATACTAAAAAATTTTTAAAAATCCTCTAAAAAAAGACTTACCTTAAAGGTCTGAAGAAAAAGCTCTTAAAATAAAAAATATATAAAAAAAATACAAATAAATAAAAGAAAATAAACAAAAAAAGAAATTATAAAAAAAGTTTTTTTTTTTTATAATAAATTAAAAAAAAAAATATCAAAAAAAGTAAAACCTTATCTTAAACCTAATAAGGATAAACTTGAGCCGGCATAATTCTTGTGTCTATAGTTATTAACCTTTTTTTGCATTCTAACACCTTATGCAAAGCTAAAAAAAAATAAAAATAAAAAATATTATCAAAAAAAAAAATAAAAAAAATTTAAAAATTAAAATAAAAAAAAAAATTAAAAAAATATAAAAAAAAGATAAAAAAAAAATAAAAAAATTTAATAACCGAAAAAAAAGATTTAAAAACTGAAAAAATTAAATTGAAAAATAAATAAATATATATATAACTAAAAATATAAGTTAAACTGAAATTAAAAAACCAAAAAAATTATACTAAAAAAAAAATAATTAAAAAAAAATTAACTGAAAATATAAGCTAAACTGAAAAAAATAAAATGATAAAAATTTAACTGAAAACTGAAAATAAAAGCTAAACTGAATTTAAAAAGCTAAACTGAAAAAAAAAAAGAAAACTAAATTGAAAAAAAAATAATTAAAAAAACTAACTAAAAACTGAAATTAAACTAAAAAAAGCTAAATTAAAAAAAAATAATAAAACTAAATCGAAAATTGTATTTAAAAACTAAAAAAATATAAAAAATTAACTGAAAACTGAAAATAAAAGCTAATTCAAATTTAAAAAAACTGAAAAATAATTAAATAACTGAAAAAAGTTAAACTTGAAAAAAAACTAAACTGAAAAAAAAAAAGAAAACTAAATTGAAAAAAAAGAAAAAAATAATTAAAAAAACTAATTAAAAACTGAATTAAAAATTAAAAAAAAGCTAAACTGAAAAAAAAAACTAACTGAAAACTAAAAATAAAAGCTAAACTGAATTTAAAAAAACTGAAAAAAAAGAAAAAAAAAATAATTAAAACTGAAATAAGTTAATCCGAAAAAAAACTAAACTGAAAAAAAAAAAAAATAAAATTTAAGAAAATTAAACCAAAAAAAAAAATAAAAAATTAAATAAAAAAAAGAATAAATAAAAAATAAAAAAATTAAATTGAATTAGAAATTTGATTGATAAATCAATCAAATCAATCAAAATCAATCAAAAATAATTTTTAAAAAATAAAAATTCAAACCTTGACTCCTTTCTATTAACTAAACAGTTATTTTTTTTAATATTTTAACTTTAATATTTGAATTTTATTTTATTTATTGGTAAGTAAAAAACTTTGAATATTCTTAATTAATTATTTTTTTACTTTTCTTTTTGAACTGATTTTTAAGTTTTAAGATAATATTTATATAGGATTTTGGTTAGTTCCTTTTTATATAGAAAATTTATTTTTATCAAAAGGATAAATATTTTTTTTTAATCAAAGTTCTAATTTTAAAACAATAAAAATTAATATTAATTGTATTTTTTTAGCTGACATAATTGTGGATTTTTATAGAAGCAAACAAAGATATGTATTATTGTTTTAATTATTTTAATTAATAATTTATATCAGTTTTAATATTAATGCATATATGCATTTATTATAGATTAAAATTAACCCTAATTCCATGCATAATAGTATTAGTAAAACGCTTATCCAAAAAATTGGTTTATATATTACTAGAGAATTTGAATCAGAATATCTTGCAGTAAAAGAGCTTGATATTGACGAACAAATGCTGGCAAGAAAGTGATGGTAAGAGAATGGGTTAGTAGAAAAAAAGTTTTCATTTTTTTGCTAAATATATTCAATAGGTTAAAATCGCTACCTTTGGTAATAATAAATACAAAAACTTTTGTAGTTATTGATAAGCCTGAATATGATTTAGTTTTAGGTAATAATTGACTAATTTGATAGAAAAGAAAATTAATAAACGGGATGTCAGATATTGGAAAAATAATGAAGAGAAAAGACTTTATTATCTAAGAAATAATATTGATATACTATCTCCTTTGTTATATACATTTTACGAATTATTATTTCCTAATTTCATCACAATTAATTTAGATAAGGAGGTCATAATAACTAAGTTTATCAAACATAATTGTAAATTTAAAAGTATAAGTGAATATTATGATTTAAAGTATACTGAAACAGAATCATCTGGCTTTAAAACTGAATCAGAGGATGAATATGTCTATAGTAATAATGATCTTCTCCATTTAAGATACTCAGATTAGTCCAGAGCAGTGATCAAGAATTTGCTGATCTACAATATATGTACTCCTATGCGATAGAAAAAGTGGATCACCAGTCAGGCAGTGATGTACATTTTGATATCCTAGAGATTTGTTGTCCTAGCTATATGTCCTAACTTGTCTCACTCTATGTCCTAAAGGTCCTATCTATCCTATCTATATCCCATTAACGTCCTATTAGTATCCTATCAATATTTTATGACAACACTGCAGTCAGGTCTCATGTGATATATATATTAAAAGAAGTTATATATGCAGTCTCCAGTAGGGACCTGCTAACCAGTAACTCTTTTTTTCTTAAACAAACATGAGAAAAAATGTAAATAAGCGTCCACTTGCAATAGAGGACCTACTGTAAAAGTAAATATTAATGTTAAAAGCATATGTTATGAAAAGCTGAGAATTTTGTAATTTTGAGATTACTGAGTATAAGACTAACTATGTGTCTCTCCAATAGTTCTACATGTGAAAAGGTATAAGGATTTCATTTACATGTGTCTTCATAAAACTTTTAGCATAATATAACAATGCTAATCACACCTCATACCTCCTTAATTTTAGCCTGATGCTCTTTTTTCTAGCAAGATATAAAGCATGTAGGAGTATGTAAAAGTTCAGCTAACTTTTCGCAAAAACATTCCCAGAGAAAATAACGTAAAATAAGGTATATGTTATATATGTCAGATATTATATATGGGAACGAGTTTTCCTCACTATGATTTCTTGTATTTAGGAAATGAAAATAACTCACAAGAGTATTGTCAATCTTAAATATTGCCTTTAGAATAGTGAGGATAAAATAAGTTATATAATCTCACCCTGCAAGAAAGATAAGGTCACTATTCTCGAATTTACTGTTAAAACTTTATTAGCAAATCAAGGTTACCAAGCTTTCTCCCTCAACTTTGACCTCTATGTGAATGATTCTAAGAAAGATAAATTCATGAAATCAACTGAAGAGATCTCTAAATATTTTGATAAGTTCTCATTTTAGATCAGATTCACATTCTTATAAAACCTAAGAATAAATAGTAATTTTTTATTCGCATCATGCTATATAATAGTTTTTATGTATTATAGGCCAGTTTCTGGTAATGTTTTTTATTTCTTAAATAAAGCATACATTATGTTCTTGTCGTAAATCTTAAAAAAGGTTACGTGTAATAATGTAATATAATTACTTGACAATCTTGTACTACATTTTAATTGCATATATATTAAGCAAATGCATTATGAATTGATACAAAAATTTTATCATTTCTTTCCAAACGTCAGAAACTAAAAATACTTTTATATTTATAAATCAGCTTTACCTATATCTGCTGTTGGGTGCATAAATTTTTTGCAAGCACAAACTTACATTTAAAAACTATGTTTTCACAAGCCTCTACACTTTCTTTTTCAAACTCAATAACAGAAGAAATTTTTTCTTGAACAATGTCAGACGTGATTAAGGATTTTAATATAGAGAAGCTTATTGATTATCTGGAAAGAAAAGACTTGAAACTCAATGAAGATGATATTAAAATTTTTTGTAAAGAGAAAGTTACTGGTTGTGATTTTTTTAAATTAACAGAGGAAAAGCTTGAGCATTATGGAATGAAAGGAGGGTCAGCAACAAGACTTGTAGATTTCATCAAAGGTCTCAACCAGAAGCTACAAAACTATTTCTCACTTAAAACTCTTAATGACTTAAAGAAAATGTTACATAAAAATAAGGTAAACAGGAAAGATATAACAAATATCAAGCAGTTTACATCTGGTAGGTAATTAATTAATTTTAAAATTGATTAGATAACTATATTAACTTTATTTTTCTCTATAGTCTTCGAAAAGATTAGTAATAATAATAAAGTGTTTGAACACTGTATAGAGGATATTATTTTAAAATTTTTGAACGTGAAGACTATAACTGATGCTAACGAGGCAATGAGCTATGAATTTATTTCAGCTATATTACATACATCAATTGCTATCACCAAAAAACTTACCTCTTAAGATATATTCATAGTTTTACAGAAAAACGTTTCTGGTGAAGATGCTACTGACTGAGTAGATTATACGATCAAAAGTCTAGAGGATCTTCTTTACATCACTGAAGAGAAACCACAAAATATTAAGATTGAATATGCATAGGTAGGTCTACTATTCACATTTTCGCTTTTTAACATATTAGAGATAATAATGATAGTTTATTTCTTAGAATCTGGTATAACTTAAAAGTGCATTTTAAACAAATAAGAAAAAATGAATTGCGGATTAAGCATTTGAGAATAACTATTTCAACTATATCTATAGTATTGTGATCACAAGTACAGAGTGGCATTTTATCATATATACTCCTGATGGTATATATTCTACAAGTGAAAGTGAATATCAAATTAATCTTACGAAATTTGCTGTTAAAGAAAATCCTAAGCTACTTCAAAATAATGTAAAGGATAATAGGTATAATTGTTGAGTATACATATAAACTATATTGTATAGTTAGTTAAACTGTACTGTAAGAAATTGGTTTTGACCAATTATATTTATTTGTACGATAACTAAATCAGATCAAAAAAGCGTATAATGAAATATGATTGGTTATAATCATTTTATATAGTACAGTTTAGCTGATTATACAGTATAGTTTATCTATATACCTATAATTATTAGGTTATTGAAGGATCAGGTTAGTGTAGATCAGTATTGGTATTAGACTCATTTCAATACATTCAATTGGACGATTTAGACAATTGGACAATTAGATATAATTCAATTATATCCAATTGTCTAATTATCTAATTGAATATTTGTTGGAATTGGACTATGTTCAATTGATTAATTGATCAATTGGACTCGACTATTGGATTTAGTTTAATTAAGTAACCAATTAAAATAATTTTTTTTTTTCTTTTAGATCGGTATTTTTTTTTGATTAAGATGTTTTTAAAAATGATTCTTTTTATTTATTAATTCTTTTTACATCTAACATAAATAAATGATAATTTAATATTTTTTAATCTACCAAGAAAGGTTTACTTTATTTAAAGAGAATAAAAGACCTGTTCCTAAAAAAAAGAAGAAAGTGAGTTAGTAAAAAAGAAGAAATATTTATAAGAATCCCTTAAAGAACAAAAGATATATCTTATCCAAAGAGCATGAAAGATCCATTCTTAAGAATAAAGAATATAGTAAAAAATAGAGAAGGCAAAAATAAAGAAATCCACCAAGTTTTCTGAAAGAAGACTTACTTATTTCAAGAGAACAAAAAGCTCCATTCTTAAATAAAAGGAGAATTAATAAGTAAAGAAAAAAACACTTTAAAGAACCCTCTAAAAGAAAATTTAAAAGAGTTATCTACCTTAAAGGCTTAAAGAGAATGTTCTTATATAACTTCCTCTTTAAGAGAAACTTTAAAATTTCTCAAATAAAAAAAAAAAAACCTTTGTGATTGATTAAGATTATACAACAAAATTATAGTCCATCAAATGAAATTTTTGAATGGAGAAGAAACAAGAACACAGGACTTTTTGGGCTAAATGATTTAATTCAATCCACTTACAATTATTACAGATACCATTTTCTATAAAAAAATATTTAAATGGAAGGTTCAATCTCACAACCTTCAGTACTAATTGACAATTAGCATCAGTTTTGAACTTTTTTGAAAGTACGAACTTCTTGATTATTCTTATAATCATTCTATTAGTTATAAAAGTGTGTCAGTCAGTGTTATTATTGTTGTTATTTCTTTCACTATTAGAAAATTAGTGATTTTAGTGGGTAGTGTGGATTCTACTTCCTTTTTACCTAACCTAACAATTTTCTCTCATACACTAGGCAAAGAAATAAATTTATAATTAGATTTTTTATGGCTCTCACCCTGTATAAAGTATTAGGTCAAGGTAATCCTTAGCAGTTCTAAAAGATTTATATCAATATCTAGTCCTTGTTCATAACTTTTTCTCTTACAAAGAATTAATTAAGATGTAAGGTGAAAGGGTTGGAAAGATTTTACATAAAAAAAAGATGTGTTAGGCTTGAATCAACAATATCTTTGAAAAGTTACCTTTTTTATATGATTTTTTCCCTATTACGTAGAATTACAAAATTTGTAGTAACTTAATAGACTTTATTGATCATTATATTTTATCTTATTCATTATTAAAAAATATTTAGTAATCTTTGAAGTTGTGACGTTTATGACATAGTATAATTTTGTAACACTTTATAAAATATCGATATAGGAGATTCATGATTACTGATGCAAATATACTATTTGTTCTATATAATATATAAGAAAAACATATAGGTTGATTGCTAGGAAAATCGGGTTCTAGGAATTTTTTAACAAAATTGAAATTTTTATTGTATTTTAGTTTTTGATATTATTAGATTAAAATATATTAAGCTCTTAATTTAAGTGAAAAATTTCTCGAAACCTGATTTTCCTAGAAACCCTCCCATATATTAAAAAAATTTTTTTTTTTTATGATTGATCTCACGTGAATATTAATTAATTAAAAAGTTTTTTTTATTTATATTATGTTAATAATTATATTCTATTATATTATTCAATATATGCAGAGTGAATTAAGTTACCAAATTTTTTTTCACAAAGAAAAATACAAAGGGTAAAAGATTATGATGTGAAAAATATAT